GATTTCTTCTTCTAAGTGGAGGAGAAAAGGTTCGAGCCCGATGGTCCAGGAATGTGCGCTCCAAGAACAGTGCTGATGTAGAGCGCCAGAACCGACAGACCCACCACCACCACCGTCACGACAGCCGCGGTGGCGTGCGAGCGCCACGAGCCTTTGTAGTGCGCCGGGCCAAACGCGGCCATCAAAGCCACCGCCAGGGTCAGGGTCATCACCATGGAGACGGTGGTGTTGATGAGCAGGATGGAGCCGAACTTGGCGAAGGGCTGGATGAACGTCTGGGTGAGGGGCACAGCCGCTACCACCGTCGTCAGAGCCGAGCACAAGATGGCCACCCCGATGTGTCGCACGGCCAAAGACGCCCGCTGGATTCGCAATGACTTGGCCGACTGGAGAAAAATTAAGGCAAACATATTAAAAATATGGTAATCACAGCCATATAGTATGTTCGCTGGTTTACCGACTTCGCTGACTAAGACAAATATACAAACATATTAGAAATACCGTAATCACAGCCAAATAGAATGTTCGCAGGATTCACAATGACTTTGCCGACTGAAGACAAAAATAGATGAAAATATGAGAAATACGGTAACCACAGTCAAAGATGCCCGCTGGATTCGCAATGACTTTGCCGACTGAAGACAAATAAATGCAAACATATTAGAAATAAGCCAATCAAAGCCAAAGATGCTCATCGGATTCACAAGGACATTGCTGATGAAAGACAAACATATACAAACATATTAGAATTAAGGTTATCCAAGTCAAAGATATTAGCTGGATTTGCAACGACTTTGCCGACTGGAGACAAAAATTAACGAAAATATGAGAAATACGGTAACCACAGTCAAATGTGTTCATTGGATTCACAATAACTTAGCCAACTGAAGTCAAATATAAACAAACATATTAAAAAAAAGGTAATCAAAGCCAAAAATATTAGCTGGATTTGCAACAGCTTTGCCAATTGAAGTCAAATATATACAAACATATTATAAATATGGTAATTACAGTCAAATAATAATATGTTTATTGGATTCACAATAACTTTGCCAAATGAAGTCAAATATATACAAACATATTAGGAATAAGGTAATCACAGCCAAAGATCTTCTAATTAGATTCCAAACAACTTCACTGAATGAACACAAATATATATTTTAACATTTTAGAAACTTTGTAGACTGAAAAGTTATAAATTTTAAATGTCTGTGTTTTTCGCCCCAATCGACACAATTTAGATCATTTAAAAGACGGACTTCCAACCCTGCCCGACAGGGCTATCCGAGCTAACTGGATACAACATTCCAGCAGGAAAACAAGACACTCAATAAAAATCTCTCCCAACTCCAGAATCAAATCCAGGTGTCTCCTGCCAGCGACAGCAAAGTGCTGATCCACTACACCACAGGTGACACCGGTTTACCAAAACACAAACCAGGAAATACATTTTCTATAAGAGGTGGGCCCATCCCCACAAATTTTTCAAAAGAGGCAGATCCC